TTGCAACTAAAGAAAACCACTCGGCACTGTAGAGTTAATGTCACAGTTTCCAATCTTGGCTGAATTCTATATACTACACAGAAATTCTATTAGCACTTGAGTACTTTCTTCTCCAATGAAATCTGAAGAAAAATCTTGTAACTTTTATTTACAACATGTTGGAGAGCATGATGGGGGCAAACAAGGTTTTAGAATCATGGGAATCAGACTAAATTGTAGCTCTTTACTTCCTGTATGGTTACCAAACTCCTCTGGATCTTTTCCCCAATGCTGAAGTGGAATTAATAGTTACTCTTCATGAGAAATGATTGTTTTGAAGATGACATAAAGATGTAAATGTGGCTTAATGATAACTCTCAGATGATTGAAAATACATTAGTTCAAGTGTTTTCGCTTCAGTTACTACTACCAGTTATACAGAGAACCAAATTTTCTACAGAGAATAACTCAATCTAATTGCATAATGTTTAAAATACTTTTAGTTATTAAGAATTCCCTTCTCCCTAGAGCAAAGTTTAGAGACAAGGCTTGTGTGCATGCCTGTGGGTCATGAAGAAATGATCTGCTTTCTGCTTTCTTCCATCCCTCCCACATACCCTTGAGGACCCAAGACAGGCAGGGAAGAATTTAATCTCCTTATGCAAGTGCTGTCAAGGATGCTCTCTCCTTTCACCGTAAATGATCTTGCTTCTTTTCATAAGCTCAGTACAAAACCAGCTGGTGACTGCAAGTTCTACCAACCAAGGTGTCAGTACAAGCAGTTCCAGTAAACATCAGTAGTCTCTGGAGATACTAGATGTCTTGGCCGGACTCCATTCTTCCCACTGCCACACCTTCTCCCAAGCCCTGCTTCAGTGTTCCAGATCTTACCTACTTTTGCACTGGGATTGCAAATCCAGCTCTGAAGCAAAGATACAGGTGGAAATTATTTTCTCTATCTTTTGGGAATTAAACGAGATGAACTGTCTGTGCTCTCTTGACCAGGCTGAACAAGCCTTTATTTTCCTTCCTTTATTTCCAAGGCACTGGCCAGGCCACCAAACCCAGTAGCTAAGCAGACAGTCACGTGGGAGTTATCAAGACATCGTAATTGAAGAATCAAGGAGTCTATTACCTTGGACTCAAAGAATTTAGTAAATATTTCTTAACACTGTAATATTTCACCATAATTCCTAGTATAATTAGTAACCTTAAAGGAAGGATCAGGAAAAGATAGTAAGCTATACTCTATTCTTAGACATGAATAAAAAACATGTTATGCAACTGACCTAGCCTATACCAATTACTTGCATTTTTTTTCTGGGTGAGATATAACAGTTTCATTTCTAGATTGTATGCTTATATTACCAAACATTGTATACATGAGCAGTGTTCTAAGTATTTTACAGATATGAACACATTTAATTCCCATAACAACTCTACGAGGTATACACAGTCACAATCCTGATTATAGATGAGGGAACAGAGGCACAGAGAGGTTAAGCAAGCTAATTATCTTGTAGTCATGATGATGAAGCTGAATTTTACCTGCCAGGAATTCAAAATTTTCAGATCTGTCTTCAACAGAAAGTGTGTTCGGAGTTTATTTTTTCCTTATTCTGATTAAATTTGGGATCATAACAACTCATAATAAATTGGGTAACTTCTCATTTATCTCACCTAAAAAAGATTGCAAATCATAGTTCTTGGAACACTCATGTTACACCAGAAATTACAATAATGAATCCATAAATAGGCAATCATTTAAAAATGATTTCAACATTCATTGGTTGTCCTAAATTTTCTAAATATTGTTTTGATATCTTGTCTTTTTAAATATAAAACTTGCTTCAGGTTGTCCCAATGTATGAGATTTTCTTCTAGTTTAAAACTATCTTCAGTTCTCTAGTTGTTCAGTCTGAATTTTTTTTTTTTGTCAGAAATACATTTAAGAGAGTCCAACTTAATCAGTCCAGAGATCTATACCCAAATTCAGATTTATGAATACAACATTTATTTTCTTTTTAAGATGATGTCTATTTTGAATGCAACATTTTAAATGAAAAGTTTAGTATAGTTTGGAATTAAATTTTGTGGGTTTTTTTTCCCCCAGTTTTTCAATATTGTGATTTGAGGTCAGAGATTGTCTTGGAGCATTCTACCACTTGGATTATGTCTCTATCTTCTCCCTGCCCTCCCCTTACCCCTTTTAAACTGTAGTTTATTATTCAGACAGAGTCTCAAGATTATGCTTAGGCTGGCCTTGGACACTATCCTCCTATCTTCACCTTGGAGTTGCTAGGATTACAGATGTGTACCACCATACCCAGGACAAATATTGTGGGTTTAGCATTCACTTCTTTTTTGATCTCATTTATGTCCTTGAAATGTTCCCTCCCTTATCAAGTGGCAGAGTGCTCACATGGCAATGGAAAGGCCTTCAGTTCAAACACCAGTACTATTTTTAAATAATTCTGTCCCAAAACATTTTAAGTGTTTAATTTGTATTTTAGCAACTATAGTTGTATGTATTTAGGTATATATATGTATATATACACACATTATCATAAATAACCATACACCATTATTATTTTCATTACTATGTATATTACCATAATTGAGGTAATACCTTCATAATCTTTTTTTTGGAGTGAAGGGAGTGGTACTGGGATGTGAACTTGGAGCCCCTTGCTTGCTAGTTTTGAGTTCTATAACCAAGCCACCCTTCTAGCAACAATAACAATCTTTGCTTATAAAATTCTCCTTGTATTAGGTGTCAGAACAAAAGAAAAAAATATTCGATTTCACAGTATCAGTCTTGGTTATGATCAGGTAGCATTTAGGTTATCTTGTGTGATAAATTTTAAAAAAGGTTCCAAGAACCATGTATCATCCCATGTATTATCAATATATCATAGATGCTAGAAACATGATCAGTTCCATATACATTCAAAATTCACATGATTCAAACGGTTACAGTTTGCTTCATCTACAGCATACCCTCCTTTAGCATTTCATTATTTTAACTGCATTATGCTCTGTCTTTCCAAATTTAATTAGTATAAACTCAAGAATTTTATCGTTGGTGCCAACTGCCAATGGAGCCATGTTTTTACTATCTATCTTTGTTGCAGGTATTGAAGTAGTTTACATAGCATCAGCTTCACTTTTTTTGTGTTTCTGTATAATGACTTTCAAAAAGAGAAAATCATGTAGAAAATCTAAGTAAACAATTCTCTCTACTATATACAATTGAGTGGAAATAAGCAGTTTTGAAAATAAGTGTATTTAAAATTCACAGAACAAATCTGCACTAATTCATACATTTCTTAGAACTATTGAAAAAGTCTGTTATTTACTAAACATATACAGTTCGAGACTATGATAAGTATAAGTTGTGGAAAGATATGACATTTCTCTTTCAGGAACTTTCTTTTGGGCTTAAAAAAAAAAACACCAAAAACCAAAGCTGTTCTATTAGAGTGTAACTTCAAGTGAGCCAGGACATACTTAAATGAGAAAGAGGAGCCAATTTCATTTAAAAAAAAAATGTGTCTGCAACTTTTTATAATCAGAAGCAGATGACTTCCGGCCAACATTGCATGATTTGGAGAAATAACTAGTTTAGAGAATAAGTATGGTTGGGAGCTCAAGTATACAACTGCAATCAGATAAACCACTACACAGATGTGGTGATGGAATATATACCTTTAAGAGTTTCAAGCCATAGTTCCCAACCACAGTGCCTGGTTAATAATAATAACAACAACAACAAGAACAATAATAGACCTCTATTACCCAGTTTCCAGTATCAGAAAAGCATCACCTGGAGCAGCAGTCTCTGGTTCACTTCTAATTAGTAGGCTTGACTCATGTGCTGGCCTCCGCATACAAGGCTTCACCGGATTTATTAAATCAACTAGTTTTTAATCTTAATATTGGGTCATTATTTTGGCCACGAGGATTAACACAGAGATGCTGCAACCCTCTGTCCTTCTTTAGGATGGATGTCCGCTCCAGCACTCTTGAGTTCAGGAGGAAGATGGCAAAGACTCATTTAAGTATTCTGGAGCCCGGCCGACCCTTTTCTCGATGCTTTTCGGAAACACAGGGCGATTGCATAACAATGAAGGCTCCGTGCAGAACTTCCTGGTCCTGATTGCCCTCTGCTCCTCTCCATCTTCTCTGGGAATTTTGCATCCATCCCGCGTCGTCGATATTTTGATACTGGCCTGACACCTTCGTCCCCCATTGGATGGGTGAAGGAAAGGACCCCGTTCCTGCCCTCCAGTGTGGTTTGTGCAGTGCGTGATCATTTTAATCCCAGATTCCCGTCTCAGAGGGGAGCGCCTCCCCCCCCCCCCCCCCGAGTCTATCCTGAGCAGCGGAGGTGTGCGGGGCAGATTCTCCCAGCCAGTAAGGGAGAAATTACCCTAGGCCGCGGAGCGGGGAAGTGCTGGGTGGGCGGGGCGGGGGTGTAATGTAAGATAGGGACCCTCCTTTCAATGTGCTTCGAGCTGTGGAAATAGGATGCGGCCGGACTGGCACTGCCAGCGCCCAGAGCCCCGAGCGAGACCCGGAGCCCCCAGGCCCGCCCGCAGACCCCTCCCCGCGTCGCGCGAGCCTGGAGTGAGCGTCCGAGGCCCCGCCCCTCCAGGCCCCGCCCCGTCGAAGCCACGCCCTCCCCAGGCCCCGCCTCCCGCGGCAGGCCTTGCCTGACTCCAGCTCCGCGGGCGGAGGGGGAGGAGAGAAGCCGCAGCTGCAACTTAGCTTGGAACCCGGGAGCCCGGGCGCCGCCGGGATCGCGCTGCCGTCACCGCGGACCCGCTAATTCCCCGGCCCGGGCCTCAGCCCAGGCTGTAGAACCATGGCAGCGGCCGTCACTGCGGCCGACCCGGCTCCGGCGCTCCCCGCCCGTCGCTGAGCGGCCGTTAACCCGCCCGTGCTCCCGCCAGCCGCTGCCGCCGCGGCCCACACTGCGCACAAGTTTCCGCCGCCGAAGCCCGAGGCGAGACCGCGGGCAGCCGGGCGCCCCCCGGCCCACCCGCCCGCGATGTGGGGCCGTCTCCTGGCCCCGGAGGCCAGCGGCCGGGACAGCCCCGGCGGAGCGCGCAGCTTCCCGGCGGGTAAGGAACCCCGCAGCCGGGCAGGGTGGGGGTCGCGGCCGGCGGCGGCGCCCCGGGACTGCGGCCGCCCCGCTCCTCCCCTCAGGCCCGCCGCCGTCCCCCGCGGCCGCCTCCCCGCCGCCGGCGCTCGCCCCTCGGCCGGTCCCCGCGCCCCGGCTGCCGGCCCCGTGCGCTGACATCTGGCGGGCCTCGTCCGGCACCCCGGCGCCCCGGCTGCGGCCGGCCCCTTCTCGGGCCGGGCTTTGTTGTCCCGTCGTCCTCCTCCTCCCTTCCCTTGGTGGGCTGCGGGGCTGGCGTGGTAGCGCGGCCGACCCGCGGCTCCGGGAGCCCGGGCGGGAAGGTCGCTGCGACCGTGCTGCGGCGGCCCTGTGCGGGGCGCGGGCGGCTCTGCAGTGCCCACGCCCGCAGCCGCTCCTCCGGGGCGCATTTCGGGGCGGGGCGGGCGGAGGCTGCAGAGGATGCGGCGACCGTGGGCGACCCCCGGGTGGGACTGGAACCCACCGGGAACCCGCCGCCCCGAAGCGCTGCCTGGCGTCCGGGGACCACGCGGCGGCGCCGGCGGCGCGGAGCCAGCCCACCTTCCAGCCGGCCCCCCGGGGCTGCTGAGGGCTTCGCCCCTGCCCGGCCCCTTTGAGGGAAAATTAGGGGTTTGCCGGGTTGAGGATGCGAAGGGGGCTGTTAGTATCTGCAAGTAAGGGATAGCCATTCCATGCCTGCCAGCCCAAGAAGTTGTAGAATAAACCCTCCCCTAAGGCACGATGGAAAAAATAATTAGGCTTGGCTGCTCTGTGGCTAGTCACCGTTATCTAACGGTGACAGTCCTTCGCGACCACCTTAATCTTGAGCTCTGACCGCCTCTGAAATGATGATACTCGTCTGCTAATCCAGGGTGGAGAAGAGCTCTAAGTACCCAGACTAAATTTCTCCTCCAAAATTAGGTGTCTCTAGGACTCAGGTTAAGTTACCCTGTTCCACAAAGTGAACTTCACTACATTTCATAGGTCACAAAAGGAAAGCATCAGCGAGAAGGAGTTTTGATAGAAAATTGATTTAAATTTAAATGGATAGAACGTTTAATTGCAAAATACCATGCGCATTGCAAGCAGTTCTCTTGACGGTGGAAATAATTATTTAAGAAGTGCATGCATTTAAAAAACGGTTGAAATCACTGCTACATTGTTAGAAATAATGCGATTATTGTGAGTTTGGTAAAACAGTACAGTAGGAGAGTACTTATTCTAACATGAATGGTGTTTGTCTTTTGAAGAGCTAGCAGTTGGGAGGTTTTAAATGCTTACCCAGTCCTGCCATCTAAGTGACTTCAATGATGGAGAAATTCTGGTACTCCATTATCCCTTAGGGGCTATGAGAGTGGTTTCCACTTATGTGTGTGTCAGAGCCATCTGTGATATCTTTGTAACCGAATCTGATCTTTGTTGCCTCTTAAAATTTATTTGTGATAATAATAGCATGTTGGGAGGTATATTACAGAAGTATCATTTTTTCCATTGTTTCCTTTGAAAACATCTTAGTATTAGAAATTAGGTAAGAAATTAGGTATTTGAAAGACTTATACTTTCTTCTCTAGACATTTGTTAGGGCCTATTTATAGTGGAAGAAGGTACTTTATAAATATAACCCAATATTAAAGACTATAGATTATCTTTTCAAAAAGGGCTTTTTATCTTAGTATTGACAGGATAAACCATTGGTAAATCATAACATGCTTTCCAATACATTTTTTTTCAGCTATAGGTTGAATAAGTATTATTTTTTACAGCACTAGTGGTGTAATTGTGCTTGTTCTCTTATTGAGCAAACATAAGATATTCGAAATTATTTAAAATAACATTTTAAAAGTTAGCGACTAAGCTGGGTGCCTGTGGCTCAAGTCTGCAATCCTGCTACTCAGGAGGCTGAGACCTGAGAATTGCACTTGGGAGCTAGCCTGCCCAAGCAGCAAAGTCCATGAGACGCTTATCGCTGACTAAGCACCGAAAAGTATGGAGATGTTTTTTTCTAAAAGTTAGAAGAAAAGTTATATTTTTAGACTACCCAATATACTATCTGAGAAATGTTAAGCAATATTAGGGCTTAGCTGAAAACAAGGGAACCAGTCTTATGATTGAATTTATCAGCAAATACTTTGGTTTACGGGCCAGTGTCATGACAATGTTAAATAATTTCTGATATGAAAATGAGTTTATCTCAATATGAAGTGTAGTTCTAGATGTCTTGAAACTTGTTTATACAAATAGTTAATTTCTGTGGTACCCCTTACCCTTCTAAAGACAGATAAATGAACAAACATGGCAAAAAGAAAATAAAAACATCTTGTAAAAATTATTTTTCTTGGTCATGGGGCTTCAACTCAGGGTCTAAGCACTGTCCCTGAGCTCTTTTGCTCAAAGGTAGCACTCTACCACTTTGAGCCACAGCTCTCCACTTCCCATTTTCAAGTGGTTAATAGGAAATAAGAGTCTCACAGGGTCTTTTCTGCTCCAGCTCCCTTTGAACCACAATCCTCAGATATTAGCATCCTGGTTAGCTAAGATGACAGGTGTGAGCCACCTGCACCAGCGAAACTTCCTTTTTAAGAAATCATAGAAACAGGAATACTACACAAAATACTAACTTTGGCCTTTCCTTTGGGATTTAATTTTGTCAAGACAGCATTTGAACTCTAGTGTGATATAGTGATATTTGAATACTTAATAACTTGTTAGACTGTATATGTTCCTTTTCATAAATCATATTTTAGAACTGTTAATATATTCAATCTTTAAAATATTTTGGGACAGAATATTATACTTTTAAAGTGTGCTACAGTAGTGTTAAGTAAGGCAACTCTCACTTGAGCTTAAGTGGTGTCCTTTGTTGCCGGGAGCTTTAACTCTGCTTCTTCCTGGTTGATACCTGGCAGTTAGGTATTTGGTGATGTCATAATGACAGTGGTAATAACTAAGTAATGTTTTCTGCTGTGGTTCTGAAATAGGTGGACCAAAGAGTACTCTGGCAACAATGAAACATCATTCTTAAATACAGCTGGACATGTTCTTTCATGATAGGAATGGGAGTATGAGGGGCGAATCCCAAATTCAGTGATGACTTGTAAAATGATCTTGATTAATAATAAAACCCAATTATTTCTTGACTTGAAACTGATAGACTAATCTGAGGTTGGAAAATAAATGGTAAGTTGACAATGCCTATTTTCATGTGAATATTTATGTATATTACAAACAAAGGTTTTAGAGACTCAGAATTTTCCTGTCTGGAAGAAATATATGTGTGTATATATGCATATATGTATGTATCTGTCTGTCTGATAATTTCAACTTGAAATCTCCCAGATAATGCTTTTTATTGAGCATTGAAAGTGAATATTTCCAGGTAACTTTTAAGTTGAATATTTCCTAAAAGTTTTAGAATATTAAAACAGCATTCTAAAGAGCAGTTTATTGTATGTTATTTTGATAAGAATTATTAGCATAAAAAGAACAACAGATTTCATGCCAATATTTGATTTGTTTTTCCTTACTTAAATTCATTGCTATTACCTAGCATAGTGATCGTCACCTTGGAGAATGTTTGTGAATTATGCTAATAATATATATTAATTGTATGCCAGGCATTGTGCCAGCCTCCTGGGAGTATCAGTGAAGAAAAAAGATAAGGTCCCTGCTCTAATGGAGCTTACATTGTGGTGGGGAATTAGATCTTGGTCAATGAGCGGGACAGTTCAGCTAATGTTAAGAATGAGGAAAAGGAAACTGAGTGAAGTGGGAAATGATGAGCAGAGATACTTCAGGCAGTTTGGTCAGTTCTAACTGAGTAGTTTAACTTTGTGTGGAAATCTGAGTAATGAGAAAAGGTGTCAGACAAAAGAGGAGTGGAGAAATGAGTTTGAAGTTTTAGGAATAGGAAAGCCCATTGAGTATGGACTAGAGTTGACTTGGGATGTGAGGTGATGAAGGCCTAATAATAAAAGACATTGCAAGGAGTGGATTTGAGTCTTTGTGTAACAGGAAGCTACCTATTAAAGGGTAAGGAAGATGACTTGTTTTGTTCATTTAGTGCATGGAATGCTTACCATGAGGCCACATTGTTCTGTGTACAGGATGTATGAAACAGACATTCTCCATCTCTAGTGTTTACAGGTCACTCCTGGAGGTTCTGTGGGGGTGGCAGCAAGAAAAGCAGTAGGAAAGCCAGTTAATATGTCATTGCAGTTATTAGGTGAGACATGATGTCTTACATTCCATTGGTTAGATTGGAATTTGAAAGAAGAGGATGGGGTTGGAGTGAAGCTATGCTAATGAGATATGCTGCTGATTTGGGGTTGGAGGGAAAGAGGAATCAAGGATAACATCTTAGTGTTGGCTTGGGGAATTATAAATGCATCTTGTCATTTTGTGAGAGGGGTAAGTTGGTGATAGGGACAAGTGTGGGTGGAATTGAGGACTATTTTGGCCATAGGAACCTCTTTTTTTAGAAGATCAGGTAGGAAGTTGGCTATGTAAGTGAGAACTTCAGGGGGGAGCTAACTGGATGGGGGTAGATAGGAATGTAAGAACTACAGGAAAAAAATGAATGTAATAGTCACGGAGGGGAGTGAGTCACATGAGGAGAAATATAGAGAAGATCCAAAGTACTGAGATATTTTCTCCCTACTACTGAATATTCCTTTTCTTATGTAGTGAAAAAGTTTGACTAGAAAGTTTAGCTTTAACTGATAAATTTTCTTAAGATCTTATTTTGAAGTGCTGTAGGACTAAATTTTTGTTTTAATTTGTATTAAGATATTTAAACATGGAGCCGGGCGCTGGTGGCTCACGCCTGTAATCCTTGCTACTCAGGAGGCTGAGATCTGAGGATCACGGTTCAAGCCAGCCCAGGCAGGAAAGTCCGTAAAACTCTTATTTCCAATAAACCACTAGAAAACTGGAAATGGTGCTGTGGCTCAAGCGGTAGAGTGCCCACCTTGAGCTATTTAAACA